CTGAGGGCAGGCCTGTGCCTCTCAGCACCTACGTGCAGGCCTGCAACAGATTGAGGGTTGTGTTTACCTTCAGTGGCTGACAGGAGTAGAGGGTCTGGAACCACAGCTGTGTGGATGAGGGTGAGTAACAGGGATCAAGGGAGGCTACAGGTATGTAACAGTCTGGTGGTGTGTTCAGAGAGGTGGTAAAGGTACAGAGGCACTGTGAGAAGCAGAGACACCTCTCCTGTGGGCCCTGCGGTTTGGCAGTATAGGAGTCTGCAGGAGCTTCTGGTGTCACAGTGACCCCAGCAATAGGCAGTTGTGTTGAAACTAGTAGGGAGGATAGCTCCAGGGAGGAGAGAAGAAACTGGGTGCCCACAGAGCACCACAGGGCACTTATGGGGGCTAGGACAGGTGGGATAGGCAGGCCAGAATGGATGGAGGCTTCCAGGTGCCAGGGACTATCCCTGGGCCTTGGACTTCATTTCTAATTCCTGTCCCTGACTCCAGGCCCCTGCATGACTGCTGCCCGAAGCCTTCAGTCTACACGTGAGCACCCAGCTCTCTGTTCTTTGTGCCTCCTATGGCAGAGAGCCAGGGTAAAGACTCAGATGTTGGGAGGTTTGGGGTGGGGTGTCAGCGTTCTCTTTGTTCCCATCTCATTCAGTTGTCCTGGCCCCTAAGGTAACAGAAGGCCAGACAGATCCCATCTTTTGCACAGCTAACTAGAGCCCAGGCCTCCTGTCATCTAGTACTGTTGCCCTCCTGTGGGGACGGTGGGTGGGGGTGCTGAGGATGGGTCCCAAGCAGGGGCAGGTATTAGAGTGTCCTTTCCATGCCTGCAGACACCCGGGACTACATCTGTGAGTTCTGCGCTCGGTCTTTCCGTACTAGCAGCAACCTTGTCATCCACAGGCGCATCCACACTGGAGAGAAGCCCCTCCAGTGAGTGCTGGGGAGGGTATCTGAGGGCCAGGGCCTGGGGTGGGGGTGGGGCAAGGAGGACATCTGGGCAGCAGGGAACAGGAGGAACCCTGGGGAAGTCAAGATGGGCTGAGACCCCTTCTTCCTGTGTCCCTGGCTCCAGGTGTGAGATATGCGGGTTCACCTGCCGCCAGAAGGCCTCTCTGAACTGGCACCGGCGCAAGCATGCAGAGACGGTGGCTGCCTTGCGTTTCCCCTGTGAGTTCTGTGGCAAGCGCTTTGAGAAGCCAGACAGTGTTGCAGCCCACTGTAGCAAAAGTCACCCGGCTCTGCTCCCAGCCCCACAAGAGTCACCCAGTGGTCCTTTGGGGCCTTGTCCCAATGTTTCTGCCCCTGAACCCCCGGGGCCCAGTGAGGAATCCAGTCCCTCTCCATCTCCTCAGGCTCTACCTGTATTCCCCCAGCAATAAGCTCTTCAGGGAGCCAGACCCAGGGACAGACAGAAAAGCAGCAAGGAGAGAGCTCAGAGGACAAACTCTGGATGCCTGGTCCCCTAGAACTAGGGTGATGGGAAGTGCAGACTGGGGGCAAAACTGGGATCTAGGACATCTGGACTAACTCTAGTTTTCCTAAAGCCCAGAATAAACAGAATTTCAAGTGGGCATGTGTGGGCAGAGCAACTGCTTTGGCACCTGAGGTGCAGCAATCTTGGATCTCTTTGAAATGAGGCTCCGTTAGAATGTGCCAGAATGCAGATTAGGTGTAGGCTCTGTTCCTCCCTCTGCAGGCCCTCACCTGCTTTGACCTTAGGGGCCCAAATTTCTTTCCAGACTCCCTCTGGCAGCCCTTCCTGTGGAGTAGGACACCCACCCTCACATTCAAGTGGAGCAGGCTATGACAGTCTACATCTAGAGTGCTGGGTCACCCCTGGGAGTGGAAGTCACCCCCTGGAGCAGAAATAGGGTTATATGATCCTAGGCTATCTTGTATTTGCCACTGGGAAAACCTAATGTGGAATCCTGAAGTCTAGCCTTCTAGTGCAGAATCTAGGGTCCCATGGGCAAAATCATTGAGCTGCCTTGGGAAGGGACAAGGAACTTGAGACTGTGAAAGAACCTGGATCTTGAGCCAGTCCCCAAATCTGTGAATGCGGCAGCCTTGAGCTTGATGAAAGGTGTTCTTAGCATCCAGAACCCAAACCACTCTTTATTTCAGGAGCCATAAGCAAAAAGCTGTTGGCCAGTTCCAGGGGGACTTGCCATTCTTCACATTCCTCATGTGGGTGTTCCCCAGAGTTCCAAGCCAGACTTAGAAACATTCTGATGCCCTACTTGATAGCACCTATCTCCATGGACATATGGTCTGGCCTAGGTATCAGGGCAAATGTCCCCAACCTGGTTGGAGAACACTGTCCTGAGAGATACCTTGATCTGCCCTGGGGACAGGTAAGTGGCCATGCAGAGGGCCCTGGCCCTCTCCTTCACCAGCTAGGCCACCTCTGCTAGAGAGCAGGCAGCTCCCAGCATGGACACATCCTTCTCTGACTGCAAATTTCCCACCTCTACACCTTCCTTCTTGGAAGCAGAGGGGAAAAACATTAGAGAGATTAACAGGTGGAATCAAGAGGCAAGACTACAGGGCCAGTGACATGTGACACGACAGCAAAGGGACCAGGGAAGGAGTAGCAGAGGAGATACAGGTTACAATAAGGAGATGAGACCAGAGAAGACAGAACATAGGCAGAGAAACAGGGAAGAAAATGGCAGAGCAGAGTCACAGCAATGGGATATGCCAACATCTAGGCTCTCTCACACGCAGGGTCTGAGAGGTATCCCCAGTTCCCTGTACCTACACTACAGTATGAGGACTAAGGTGGGGGAAAGACTTGACAAGGCTGGTAGAGAGGCAGGGCAGGTGAAGGGCTGCACCGGAAGGTGAGAAGGCAGCCACCAGGCACTGCGCGGTTGGTGTGATGTGATGTTGGTGTTCACCTGACCACCTCCAGAAGAGCCTCTTAGCAAGTCTCTCTCAACTGGGACATGAAGAGCCCTGTCCTGCTGGCCCCACGACAGCCAGGGTGGTGGCTGCGGCAGTGCGGGTGCGTGCGTGGGTCCGCTGGTGTTGCGACAACGAGCGGCTGTGGCTAAAGCATTTGCCGCACTCAGCGCACTCTGCTGGGCGCTCACCCAGGTGCGTCTTGCGATGCAGTGCAAGCTTGGAGGCTACGCTGAAGGCTTTGCCACACTCAGGGCATTTGTGCGGCTTGTGGCCAGTGTGGTTTCGCCGGTGCACGTTGAGGTTGGACACACAAGTGAATTGTTTGCCACACAGCTCGCAGCGGTAAGGCCTCTCACCCGTGTGTGTGCGCCGATGCTTAGTGAGGTCTGAGCGGTCGCTAAAGCAGCGGCCGCAGTCCGGGCACGGGAAAGGCCTCTCGCCCGTGTGGATCCGCTGGTGCACTACCAGGTCAGATCGCTGCCCGAAGCACTTGCCACAGGTGGCGCATGCGTGTGGCCTTGTGCCCTGGTGGCTACGCCGATGGCGCAGCAGCGTGGAGCTCTCACTGAAGCAGCGCCCGCAGTCCCCACAAGCATAGGGCTTCTCACCCGTGTGTGTTCGCTGATGGCGCACCAGTGTGGCACTCTCCAAGAAGCCCTTGCCGCATTCAGGACACCTAAAAGGTTTCTCCCCAGAGTGCGTCTGCAGGTGTCGTGTTAGCGTGGAGTTCTTGCTGAAGCTCTTGCCGCACACGCCACACTGGTGCGTGTTGGGGTCACAGGGGCCCTGGGACACCGGGCTCTGGGCCAGGTGGACGCGAGTGTGACTCCACCGCCCAGTAC